ATGTTTTCTTTGACTTAAGGAGGATGATTCATAGTGGGATAGGGAGCGGGAGCCTGGGAGGAATAGATGAACTCTAGATAGGGTAGAGGGGTGGGAGGGAAGGGAGGGGGTATGGGGGTTAGAAATTATGGTGGAACGTGATGATCATTAGTACCCAAAGTTCATGTATGAAGACACGAATTGGTGTGAATATACTGTGTATACAACCAGAGATATGAAAAATTGAGCTCTAGTTATGTAATAAGAATTGTAATGCATTCTGCTGTCATATATAAATAAAAAAATTACATAAAAAGTTAAATATTATAAAATTCTAATTATTTGACATTGTAGAAAAAGTAATACTAAAGAAATAGTAAAAATAAGGTTGATAGGGGTTGGGGGAGAGATGAATAGGTGTAGTAGAGAAAATCTTAAGATAAACTTAAGAGCATTGAAACTATTCTGTAGGGTACTATGCAGGTGGATACATACCATTGTACATTTGTCAAAATTCATAGAATGTGTGGCATCCTGGTGCAAAAATGGATGTTGGGTGATAAAGATGTGTCAACTCAGGTCCACTGACTGTAACAAATGTCCTACTCTGGACCAGGATGTTGACAGTGTGGGTGGTTGTGCATATGTGGGGTAGGGAGTAGATGTGAACACTCTACATTTTACTCAGTTTTGCTATGAACCTAAAACTGCTCTAATTAATTTTTATTTTATTTCATTTTTTAAAATTTTATTTTATGTTTAGGGTATACCATGGATTGAACTCAGGGGCATTCAACTACTGAGCCACATCCCCAGCCCTGTTTTGTATTTTATTTATAGACAGGGTCTCACTAAGTTGCCTAGCATCTCACTTTTTCTGAGGCTGGCTTTGAACTCGTGATCTTCCTGCCTCATCCTCCTGAGCCACTGGGATTACAGGCGTGTGCCACTGCACCCAGCTCTAATTGTTTTTAAGTGTTAAAATGAGGGTGTGGGCTATGGCAGTGACTAAGGCTCTATACTCAGGCTACTCATGTATATAATTTGTTCTAATTAGTTATACATGACAGTAGAATGTATTTTGACATATCATACATAGATGGAGTATAACTTCTTATTCGTCTGGTTGTACATGATGTAGAGTTACACTGGTCATGTAATCATACATGCACATAGGGTAACAGTGTCCAATTTATTCTGCTACCATTCCTACCATTATGCCCCCTTCCCTCCCTTCACTCCCCTCTGTCTAGTCCAAATTACCTCTATTTTCCCCCTACACACTGTGAATTAGCATCTGCATATCAGAGAAAACATTTGGCCTTTGGTTCTTTGGGATTGGCTTTTTTTCACTTAGTATGATATTCTCTGTGTCATCAATTTACTGGCAAATGCCATAATTTCATTCTTCTTTAAGGCTGAGTAGTATTCCAAGGCTCTTCTAGTAACATGTTTTCATGTTCAAAAAAATTCAGGAAAGGTGGTGGCCAGCCCTGATCTGTCCACACTGTTTTCACTGTAATTTGTTGGTTTGTGAAGTCTGTTCTGGAGAAACCAAGAACCTAGTCAATAAGCAAGAAATGTGGCTTGGTGGAAACCAACTAAGAAGACAGAAGGTTGGAAATCGGCATGAAGTGGTCCTTCCCTGTGGCAAAGTTCCTGGGGCAGGAAGTCCTCTCTCAACAGGAAACAGGAAACGACATCATTTCTCAGGAGTTTTGGAAATGGGGACCTAGTCAGGGTCTAGGAAAGGGTATTTGGAGCAGGACTATTTTCACCAAGAAGAAAGTAAGCTTTACTGTGGAATGTACACAGTATTTCCTCCCATATCTGACTTTATTTTTTCTTATTAAACCCCAGACTTTATCTAGTTGTAATTCTGACACTGGGAAGCTAAATTTGCAAAGTGGATTTAAAAGATGTTGCGAGTATCAGAATAACAACAGTATCAGGAAAGAATCAATGAAAATGAGGAGGAATTGAATAGTAGTGAGACATGTTCTTAACATAATGACCTGTGCCTCAGTGGCTCAACAGGTTAGCAGCATCATAGCTAAGGATATTAGGATATAATGCTCATTGTACCAGTTTTCTTTTAAAGGTATTAGACTCTTAAGAGGCAGAACAGAAAGGGAAGGCTGCATGAGGGATTCCAAGGAAGCCACTGACAACCTCAATTACAGGTAAGGTCTCCTGGGGACAAACTTTCCCTTCTGCAAGATGACATCATCTGAGTCTAGACTGAAGAACCCTGTCAGAGGTAGCACTGTGTCATGTACAGATGATGTCCTTACAGTGACAAATTATATTTCTTTCCTTAATAGAATCAAGGTGGGAGGATTTCTCCATGAAGCAGAGCCCAAGGCTAAGGAAGAGATGCCCCTAGTTTCCCAGGGAGTATCTCATCTCTCTGCCTCTGGATGGATTCCCCAAAGGAGAGTGAAGCAAGGTGCACATGCTAGAGACAGGGATGCAGACACATGTTACTTATCATGCTGAATGTGAGCAAAGACCACGTAACTCTCTACATGGACAAAGTTGGGCTCACCAGCCTTGTAATAGCCCCAGAAAGGAAGGGGTTAATCAGCATAGGCACCGAAAACTCTAACCAACTTGATTGCAGAGCAGCTACGGTGATGCTTGACACACAGAGGAAGCAAAGGACAGGCTGTGGTTTGTTCTCTCTCTCCACCTCTCTCCGTATTCCTTCTCTATTCTGGCCTTGTTTTCATTTCATCTTTAATATAACACCGTGATACAGGTGCCGGGACTAGTACCAAAGGCCTGTCTCAGCCAGCAGCTTCCAGGTTACAGCCCTCCAAATCAGCCCTAGCTCTCTGACTCTGAGACCAAGGAACACTGCACTCCATCACAAGGGCTCCTGGCACCAGCCAATCCACACAGTGTGGGAAGACCCCCAAAGGGTCCCTTTCCTCCTCTCAGGTAATGTCAGGAGACAAGTGTAGCAGGAAGTACTGCACTTTGGGTCTGCAAAGCTGAGCTTCAGAATGTCTTGTGCTGGGTATCTTTGCTCAGCCCATAGCCCACAGTCCCTGGGGTGGAATTGCTCTATTGTGTCCCTCTGATGAGACGCCTTGGAGCTTTCTTTTCTAAGCTTGTCTGAGTAAGAAACAATAATGGAGGTCACTGCCAAGCCTTTCACAGTGACGCCTTTCATGCTGCATTAATAAATCTCACAGTACTTCATCACTCACATTAATGGGAAGGGGGTTACTTCTTTAGAAATGCTCTTTCCCAAGGTTAATATTTCATGTTAAATCCATTCACTCTTTTGACATTTTTATGACCTGTGTACAGTGGTCTCATATGTTCACAATAACGTTCAAATTGAAAGAGCATGATGATCACTTGACAATATAAAAAGTGCTCTTTGTTAAGTCAATTTTAAGCATCTTGTTACACTTGGGACTTGTGGCCAATCAGATATTTTTCCTTTTAATGATTTCTCATTCTTATTTTTCCCAGGATTGCAATATTTGGAAAGGCTAGGGAGAGACTGTTGACTTATCTGAGGACCTTAAGGGTTCATGTGTTTCTTTTTCTGTATTAGAATAATTAAATGAGTGAATGTGATCTATTAAATTGAAAACTTTAGGAGTCCAGAACTGCTACCCTAAATTTGAACCTGGCCTCCAGTTTCTGTTGAGTTGTCTAGATAAAGTTGGTACGTCCTAGTGCTAGAAGCTTGGCCAGCACATGTTCCAGGCCATATGGTTATTTATGGACATCTGCATTACTTTTCACACAACCCAGCAAGATAGATAATGTGATGTCCAATATTCAGATAAACAAATTGGGGATTGGGGAGTTTCAAGGTCTTGCTCACTTGTAGCGGAACCAATTGAGCAACCCCTTACCTCCCAGGCAAGAATTATCCAGAATTGGCCCCAGTTTGCAGGAATTATCATTGTGCTTTGGATTTCATTAAAACTTAGAGAAGTTATGTGCTATTTGCTTGGACAACCAATATTTCACAGGATTTGATCAGTCACAGTAAGACTTATTGTCCACTCCGTCCCCCAAACTGAGGACAGAAGTGCTCTTTCCTTAAAATCTACCAATGTTGTTATGGTTCTGGGTGCAGGGTGGAGTGGGGGGGGAGCCAGTCTGAGTTCACTGTTCTTGGAAATGCATCCCTTTACAATGGGATGCTCTTGGAAGCACACGCTGATAGTAGATCCAGGACTGGCTAAGTCTCAGCAAGAATTTAGGGACTGCGTTTATATTAGGGAAGATTCTGCAGGAAAAAACAAAATATCTGTTTTTTTCCAAGACCTTTTTCTGATTCTCAGGACCCATACAGAGTTTCTAGTTCACTTTTCTGTTTTTAACATGGTCTAAAGGTTACCTCTAAGCTCTGACCATAATAGCCCCTTCTCTCAGGGAAAATCCTCTCCCTCTGGTTGGAGCATGTTTTATGCATTGCAGTGGGGCTTTCTGCAGATCTCTTTTCTGCACATTACTGACTTGTCTGGGTCTAATTTAGGCCACAACACACATTGGGTAGGAACTCTTTAATTCCATGTTCTCTTCAGTGTTCGGCAGATTTTGTTCACTCAACAAATGTTAAATGCCAGTAATAACTAACACCTTCTCTCTCTAAATAAAGCACTATTTTGAGGCAGCATATACATGACCATTCTGATTTCATCTTTTATTTAGAGAACGGCACGGGTGGGGGAGTCATACACAGCATAGATTCTGTCAGCAGTACTTGAATTTCAAAGTCTGAAACTGGGTCATGGTGACAGGATGGAGGATATTGAATGCTAAAGAGCCCAACAGCACTGCAGTGATCCGGGGATGGTAACAAATAAAGTGCTCAAGAAGAAGACAGAGTGGGGGAGTGAGAAGAGCCCTGGATGGGCCAATAGCACCCAAGTCAGGGGCTGTGCTCTGCTAGTGACTGTCTACGTTATGCTCCATATAGCTGATACCTTCAGCTTTGTGAGACCAAGGGGTTGAATTAGCTGATACCTGCAAAAAAATCTATTCATTCCTTTAAATTATTCATTTACTGAAGACATTTATTGGGTGTTTACTCTCCATTAGATGTGAGGAATATAATAGTGAACATAGTCCCTACTTTCTTAGAACTCAGAGTGGAGGATATATTAAAATTTTGAAAATAACTATAAAATTACATGCGCAGTTAAGATCTATAGAGAGAGGTACATGGTGCATAAGAATAGAAGAAATACTCAAAATATCCAGTAGCATCAACTAACCAGAACACACATAGTTTGGTGGCTGAAGGCTCCAGTTGTATCTGGAGGTAACACCTTAGTGACTGAACAGTGAACTTAGGATGATGGTTATTTATCAAATTAAAGGAAAACATTTCAATTTTTGCAACCAGTTTTGTAAATAAATATTGGCTTTGGATAAAATTTGGTAATAGAAGGATTTGTTCTGAGTTGGAAGGCTAGTGAAAAGCTTATATGAGGTGAATTCAAGCAACAAGTAAGAATGAATTAATTCAATAAAGAGAAGAGGAAATCATTCTAGATAGAGTGTAGCACATTCAAAGACCATGTGACTGGAGGGAGCAAACTCTGTTTGAGGAATTCAAAGAATTGCAGCTGGGCTTACATGCATTAGCAGAGGGAGCATAACAGGAGGTGAGTCTGGTGATATGAACCAGAACACATGGGATTTTGTAAGCTAGAGAAGAGATTTCAAATTTTCCCCCGTAAGAGCAATGGGAACTCATTAAAGATTCTTAGCTAAGGATGACATGACCAGAGATGCATTTTATAAAGAACATTCTGGTTACTGTATAAAACAGGGACTTCAATAGGAACAGTTGGAAGGTTGTTGTGGTCACCCAGGGGAGAGGCTGGTGGCTCAGGAAATGATGCTGGTAATAAGAGTGGAGAGAGGATATTGTTCTTGCTTGCTCAGCTTGGTAGATGATAGTCATTCACTGAGCCAGGAAATGTTCAACTAGGCCCAGGGCATATTGGTAATGGGAGCAGGGAGAGAGGCTCTCAGAAGTGGGTGGTGGGACTCATCATACTGACATGGAGGGGCCTCCGCAGTATCTAAGCTGAGACCTGGGCATGTGGGAATGGCTTGGACCAGAGGTGTGCATTCCTAGTCATCTTTGCAGCATGGTCACTAAAGCCCAGACTGTGGAAGGACAGCCCAGAGAAGAGCAATGGGACCCGGAGGGACCTTGAGAAGTTGGAAAAGTTAATATCCAGGCATTTGACCCATTGTCAAGGAGATGAAGAAAGAGTGACAAGAGTAAATAAGGGTAAACAAAGTATAGAATCAAGGAAGCCAGGAAAAGAACATATCAAGAAGCAGGGGACGATGGTCAAATGAAATGATGAATGAAATTGCCCCTCTGCTTGATCTCCAGAAAGGTTTCACTGAAAACTGCTACATATTTTTTAACTTTTTACTTTACTTTAAACTAATTACAGATTTATAAGGACTCCCCAGTAGAGTTCAGAGAGGTCCACAGTCCCCGTCACTCCATCCCCCAGTGGTAGTGTCCTACACAGTAGTAGCTCGCTGACATCTACATACATCAAGCACAGGAAATTGACGTTGGCACATTCTAATTAACCACTCAAGCCTCAATCACGTTACTGAAGTAAGAGCTACTCTGATGGAACAATGGAGCTGAAAGTCAAATTAGAATGGGCTGGGCAGTGAAGGGAAGGAGAGGCCACAGAGACAGTGTAGATAGTAAATACTTATTGTATTCTATGCTGTGACAGCCATGAAGCCAGATGCTGGAACAGTGTGGTGCCTTGGAGGAAATGTTTACAACCATAGGCTCTGGACAAAGAATCTGGGGACAAGGAAACTGAGGGTAAAAATCTGTCTCTGGCAGTGGGCACCAGCTTTGGAGGCTATAGGAGGCTGTGGACCAGGAGCTCTCAGGTGGTACAGTCATGAGGATATCCAACTCTTGGTAGTGACAGGTGATGGTGTACTCATGTAATAGCAGATGCATCAAGACTCTTCCTTTAGGACAGATTGGTCATCTGTTATGTTTGGACGAGGTGCCCCTATGAAAGCTCATGGGGCAATGTAGTGATGTTCAGAGGTGAAATTAGATTACGAGATCTATGATCTAATCCATGGATCAATTCATTTTATGAATTGATAACTAGAATGTATTACAGGGTGGTAACTCTAGACAGGTGGAATGTAGCTGGAGGAAATAGGTCACTGGGGGTGTGTTCTTGGGGATTACATTATGTCCCTGGCTTCTCTCTCTCTCTCCTCTTTCTGGCTGCCATGAGCTGAACAGTTTTCTTTCACGATGCCCTTCCATCGTGATTCACTGCTTCACCTCAAGCCCAAAGCAAAGAAGCCACCTGATCATAGACTGAACTACTGAAACCACAAGCCCAAAATAAACTTTCCTCCTCTTAGTTGTTCTTGGGTATTTTGGTCAGTGATGAAAAGCTAACTAACCCATCATCCCAATACCTCTCAAATTTTACAGACTGTTTCAGTGAAATCCAAAATGTTTTACAGTGTCTATTACGTTTTCAGTAATTACATTTTCTAATTGAATCTTACAAATTCTCATTCTGTTCTAGGTAGGGTCAGTATAAGGTGTTCCAAAAAAGCCCATTTCACAGATGAAGACACTGATCAACAAGCTTCAGGGAAGTTCATGTCTTTCTACTATGGAGCAAGGTCCTTCCTGGAACTCAGAATTCCGACTTGATAATCTTCCTATTTCCTCTTACAGGTTCCTACTTTTCGAGTTGCCTTGGATCTGAAGATTCGATTTGGGCCATGCAAGTCGTCACTGGTACCTATGAAAATTTAGTCACATTTTCTTTCTAGTATCCCCCAAATTAGCAACCCCCAGGTATCAAGCAGTCAACAGTATCATAAGACTTGTTTTATATTTGTCCCTCATTACAATTGGTGGATGGCTGGCAATCAAAAAAGTACACATAGGAAAGCTTAAAGGATAGATTTTTACCACTGCTTCACATTCTAATTCCTCCTCCATTGGGGTCATTCTATGAAGTTCTCTTTTCAAGATGGTGGGAGGCAAAGGAAAGTCCAAGGAGGAGGGAGTGCTGGAGACAGGGGGCAGCAGGACCTGGATCCTCACTGGGCTAGGGCTGGGTTGTGCTTCCTTCTGACAGATGCATTCAGGTGTACTGCTGGGAGGTCTCCCCTGCCCTCTCCATGCCTCTCAGTCTGAGGCAGGGTCTTACACAGCCACTGGCTGCTCCTCCTCCAGTGAGAGGAGCTCTCAGGGTGCTCTGGTGCTGCATGCTAATTGGCCCACTTTAATGACTCTTCATCCCCTCCCTCCTAACCACCACAATCCCCTCTTCCTGGCTCCAGGCCTAGGAGGCTTGCTGTCATGGCAACCGAGCCTTCCAAAGCCTGGAAAACTCACCATACAGATGTAGGGAGAAAAATTCCACTGCTGAATTTCCAAAGAAGGGCTCAAAAGGAGGCAGAAGGAGAAAAATCTGAGCTTGGGAATGACACAGGTGGAGGTGGGGAGGTTCTGTGGTTGGGGACCTATTGAAGATTCATAGTACATGTACCATAAACCCGCCTAGCCAGGACCGGGGGAAGAGGACTCAGCACTGTGTGGCTTCATCTGCATTTGCTAATGTTCATATCATCTGATCCCTGGAGCATTGGCACAGAAATATTGAGGGTAGGAACCACAATGTCTGCAATGTCCTTGCCTCGATAATATGATGCTAGCTATGTACTCAGTGAAATATATTACAGAGATTGAGTGTGCTTTGATCAAAATGAGAACTTTGTCACTGAGGGATTTGGTTACTGTTTTTCCTTTACTAGAAAAAAATCGTATTTAAAACACATTATACCTCCTTTAAAAAACATTCAATATAATATATGGGTTTCCCTATTAAATTGTTTTAGGACAGGAGAGAATTAATCCAGGTTTTATTTGTTGGCCGATTTGCTTGGTGGTAGCCTGCTCCCAAGCAGTGGGACCCAAGGGTTTTTATAATAATGTTGTGAGGAAAGATGCCAGGCCAGACTCACTCAGAGCTCCCCTATCCTCCTTAGTAGGACAAAAAGATAGGGGGATGATCCCCTTTAGTTCTGTCTTACCTCTTGGTGTTGTCCTCTCTGGCATACTTTAATTCATTTTCCTCTGCTATTTAAGCCTTCCGTCCAGATCCCTTTTCTCCTTGTTTCTAAAACAAGGCTGCACTCTTTGCATCACGAGCTCATGGCATCATTTCTGAAACACCCCAATGTTAAGTAGCTGGCGCACGTAATGTCAAAGGGGTGTTTGGTTCTCCAGACCAAAGCAAACACACACACAAACGTCCTCTTTGCAACCAACGTGGGAGAGTTTCTAAAGGCGGACCACAATGTTTCTGACAGTCCTCTTCACTCAAAGGAGTGGGGAAAATTCTACCATGCTTTTATCTGGCCTGACAACTCAGAGAAACAAGCCAGGGCTAGGAGCTCACTTAAGATCCAAGTCAGGAAACCCTGAGAGCAAGAGAGTGCCTGGCCTTGGAGAATGAATACAAAGCCACACAAAACAGGAGGCAATTGATTTGCAGATGGAGCAATTGGTGCAGAGAAAACCCTCATTTGTTCATATTAAATAAGATGCACAACAATGTCACATTCACCTTTTTCTCTTGGATGTCATTTTTGACACAAAGACTTGGTGACATGCTTGATTCTTAAGCCTTGGCTTTCCATGTGATATTTGGAAAATCTTTTATTCATTTCTTTTCAACAAATATTTATTAAACAGATACAGCTAAATATCTGCCCAGCCTTCTTTTAAGGACTTCTAGAGTTGGCAGCAATTCCTTGAAGTAGATGACTTCAAGTTTCCAAAGTACTCCACACACATCATCATCTAATGTAATCCTCAGGACCAGCCTGGCAGTGTGCAGATAAAGGCTGTGCTGCCAAGCAAGGAATAAAAGGCAGAAAACCCTCAACAGAAGGTTCCACCAGTGTTGGGATGTTGTCCCTGTAATGAGCAGCTTACTCCAAGCCTAGGAAGTTTAGGCGCTAATACTGTATGTTCTGTGAGTACTTAGGGCACAAGGCGGCCTGCGTTTAGAGAACCTCTCAGGAGATTAAGAACATTAATCTTCAGACATTTTTGAAAGTTGAGACAATTTATTCAGAAAGAAAAATATCTTTACTTTCAAAGAAGATTGCAAAGAAAATATTTTCAAAGGGGGAGGTAGAAAAGAGATTGGACAAGGAGCTGTGAGGTTAACAGTCTGGTTCTGCTCTGTGGGTTTTGAAGAATGAGGAAATTGGGCCAGATTTATTCTGCTATGGTTTGAATATATATCCCAAAGCTCACATGTTGGAAATTTAATCCTCAATGCAACAGTGTTAAGAGGTAGAACCTTGCAGAGGTGATGAAGTGGTGAGGCTTTTCAGATTTTCTAGCACAGTGATTCTCAAACATGATGAGAGAATTGTCTAAGTCATTAGGAAGATGTGAATGAGTGTGTGTGTGGGGGTAAGAGATTAAGTCTGTGGATTAAGGTCCCAGGATGATCTTGATTCGGTGGATTAATGTTGCTAAAACAGGAATGAGTTTGTTATCATAAGAGTGGACTTTTTTTTTTTTTAATAAAAGCAAGTTTGACCCTTTCTTGCCCTCCCTCATTCTCATCCTATCTCACTCTCACCTTCTGCCATGGTCTGAAATCCTTGGCACCTTAATATGGGACTCCAACCTTCAAAACTATGAGAAATAAATGTTTTTTATTTATAAAGTTTTAATCCATAGTATTCTGTTATTGCAAGAGAAGATGGCTCAAAACAACTTCTGAGTTGCAGGTAAAAACTCTGCATGAAATTATATATTAATTTTTGTTATGCAGCGTATGTTGTGCAGCAATTCCTGAAAAAAGTTTAATCAATTGTAGTTTTAGATTATATAACTAATTATTACTTATATATGTACTCATTTAATTGCCAAGAACTAAATTAAGGTACCTGTTCACATGTATTGTGGGCATGACAAAGATGGAGCGTATAACACCTGAAACAAAATAGACATTCCGTGAATATTTATTTAATGTATATATATGAAAATACAGAGAAAGAAGGAAAGAAGAAAGGAAATAAGGATGAAAGGAAATAAGGAAGGAAGGAGGAGAAAAAGGAAGGAAGTATAGTTGACTTTAAGGAACAAAAAAAGAAAAATAGAATTTTGAAGTGGCTACAAACAGGAGAATACAAATGTTTTTCTAAGAAGTGCAGTGAAGTCTCTAGTATCTCAAACAAAAGTCATACAACCAAGACACAAAATAGTGGCTTGTGGGTTGGGTGGGTGTGACTCTAGAAAAAGATTTCATTCTACTATTTTAGTCATACTATTTTTTTAAATTTAGTTTGGTGATTTGCTGCTAAGTAGCTAAGGATCCTCGGCTGAGTCACCTGTGTTCTCTGATTGGAGATATCTGCATTTGGAAGATAAGTTGTTCCTATTCCAGCTACAAGGAAATCATGATTCTATGCAGATCTAAATATCAGGTTTAAGTCTAGAGTCCCAGCTTATATCAAAGATATCTGTCACCTAGGATCTTTTGATGCAGTCAGATGAGTCCCTCCTAGTTGCCTTGGCACCATGGCATTTTGCCCTTCGGCTGGACCGATAGCAGGGCCTCCAAGACCAGCCTTGCCTGCTGTGCAGGTAGGTATGCAACACCTGCTGACCTCAGTGGCCTCCCCACACCACAGCACAGTAGGTGGCCTGGCACCACCTGATATAAGTAAAATAGTGCCACTCTGAGAAAATCCAAGTTCCCTATTCAAGGAGCTCAGGCTCATTTAGGACTTTTTGTTGACCTTTTAAGTGTGCACACAGTTGTGAAGTTGATTTCTCTGAATCCGCCCTCAATGCATTAGGATCCCATTACCAATTTTTCAGATTCTCTAGTGCAGTGATTCTAAAACGTGATGAGAGAATTGTCAAAGTCATTAGGAAGATGTAAATGAGTGTGTGCAAGGGTATGAGATTAAGTCTGTGGATTAAGTTCCCAGGATGATCTTGATTCATAATCTTTCATCTCTGACCCCTTAAGAACTCTGGTTTAACAGGATATCTCCTTAATTCCTTAAACAAACATTGAAAGACTTCACACCTTCTAGACTTCTCTCTTACTAAAGAAGCCCTTGGCTCTACCCATTCCAGTCAAGGATTCTGTCTACCATACCCACACACCTGCCCAGTGCCTCTGTTTTCTGTGAATGGATTTCTCTCAGTAAGTCAACTCATAAATGTCCTTCCCTGGGTTCATTACCATTTACCTTTCCCCCTCCAATCAGTCACCTGGATCAGAGTCCTTAGTACTGTCCTCATAAGGACTTTTCTGGATCTTTGTTCTTCCACATGCAGGTCAAACTCCTTGGTAGCACTCTACAAAAACTCCAAACCACAAGGGCATGTAGTACTTAAACTCTCATCTCCTAGGGACGGGAACCATAAATGGTATTAATCTGTATCCCCACAGTGCCCCGCAGGGGATGAATAAGCCTTTGTTGACTGATGGGTGATAAATACAATGGTATTGATTTTAAGAAAGTGAAGCAGCATTTAAGGGATTGAATTAGATTCACAACTTTGAGTATAGGCAAATAATATGATATCAACTAATATAGACTAATACCATTGGTTATGTATAAACCAAAATTAAAAGAAAATACATAAAAGTCCAGAAGTTCTATTAACATTATTTTTGTGAAAATAAGAAATTTGAATTTTCTGTATCATAGTATAATTTAGTGGTTAATGGCCAAGAGAAGAAACTATTTGAAGAGAAAATCGGAAGCAGTTAATTCTCTTCATGTGTGCCATTGATCAGTTAATGCATCTGCTCAGAAAGATAACTTCCAAACTGCTCAACTTGATTTTACTGATTTTTCACTCTTAATGTTTCACTACCCTTTGATTTCTCAAAAATGAATCATTATTTTTGTGAGAGTAGGAAGGAGATTAAAAAGAAAAAGGAAAAGGAAAGAAAGGAATTTTGAGTGATAAAAGAAAATATTTATTCTCTGCTTTCCTCGGGGGCTGTTGATTCCCTTAGTGTATCCAGTAAAGAATACTTGGCATTTTTATGACTTACAAAAGAAAATGGGGGTGGGTTTCTCATCCCTTTATTTTTATAAAACTTTATTGTGGTCCATGCACCCACATCTCTGAGAGCAAGTTCCTGGGTCATTTTTTCTTCATCCATTCAAACCAATTCTGGACCAGATATTAATGAGAACCCATCTAGTTTAAACCTTGGTGCTTAATTAGCATAAAACTACAATAATGCCCTTTTAGTGGGGCATTCATCTGAAATTGGCTCAACTTGGGTCCTCAAAGCTCACTTTTTCAAATCAAAAGATATAAAATATATGATCCTATTTATAGGAGAAAGTGCAATTTCCCCTGCTCTTCCTCATCATAAAAGCCCCTGCTAATGGACTTAGTATTTCCTACATAGAATCTCCTGTGCTCCAAAGCCCAATTAAAAGATGGTGGGCTCTACCAGATATTTTGGCCTGTCTTTTGGATGGATGTGTGAGGTCCCCAAGTGTGGGTACTAGGCCATTCTTCTATTCTCTTCTCTCTCTCTAGACCTCTTTTGCTTGCTCTGTCCAATAACTTGCCAAATAGTTTCATTATATCTAAAGGAATTAAATCTGTCAGCAAACGAGATCTATAAACCATCATGGAATCTTCAGATATTGTGGAGTGACACAGTTTCCATTGTGACTAGAGAATTACTAGCAGACAGCCTTAACAGAGGAAAGCTTAGGAACTTCACAATTTGGATGGGTTTGGGGGCTGTTTGTCAAAGGGTTGTCATCTCTGGCCTTCCAATAGTTGCCAGATAATAACTATAATTTAACATGCCCATGCCTTGCAGACAGCAATCACCTTTTAAACTCTGGGAGGTTGTTCTACAGAGGACACAGAGAACATCTCTGGTAATTAAAGCTCCAGCTGCAAGAATATGCTCATTAGAAATTCAAAGAGTTCTAGAGACCAATCCTTCTTAGTTTTCCTGGCAGCCACCTACATCTTCTTGTTGCCTCCTCTTTCCTGCCCTTTCTGGCTTTATAACTCATCTCTGAAACTGCAGGGAAAAAAAATCTATGGAACTCCTAATAGTACCACTTGTTAATTAAACTGTGTGCTTCTTGAAGGTGTGTCATATTGGTCTTAACACAGGGCTTTAATAAATATTGGCTAAATAAATGAAAATTCCCTTTTGTCACATTGATGCTGTCAAGAATAGGATTTCTATGCAAATGAACCTTGCATATTAAAATCTTGAGCCTTTTCTTGAATTATGCTTTGTCTTTTCAAAGTGGGTGGATTTTATTCTTCAGAATGAAACCACAATAACATTTTCCATATTTATATCAACAATGTATACAAACATGAATGAGTCAGTGGATAGCTATTGTTCATAATAGTCAATGGCATAGCTAAAAGGACAGGCTATTAGCAGTTAGCTTCTTGACAGAGAGATGGTTAAAATCGTAGCTGTGCAATGAATATTATGGAGGCTCACATCTTGGCTGCCAATGTTTGCTGATGGTGTAAACACAGACAACTTCTTTAGCTTTATGGTGGGATTCAGGAACTCATTGGAATTGTTGGTAGAGAGCACAAGTAGCTACCCTACAGTGCTCCAAGAGGTCTGTCCGCAGTAAGACTCAATAAATGTTAGCCATGTCACATTAGTCACATCAGCCTGCTGATCATACCTCCTTTAAAGAGAGATACAAATTACAAGGTTTCAGAAAGGGTAACTTCATTTTGTTTCTATCACAGAAAAGGGAGACGTGAATAATGTCAAGAGATTGGTTAATATCTGCCTAGCTACTCCTGTGTATCTGGTTTATCTAAATAAAAATAATAAATTAACAAGGGGCTTGGCTATCTCTGCAAACACCTTTGAAAGGACAGGTACATGGTGTTTTATCTCTTGCTCCTAAGAAGACATGATATTGTTCTAGTAGTTTAGTCAAAGACATTCTACGAAAGGAAGGCAAAGTCATGCTCAGGCTTTAATAACCACAGTGACTCTATTTTTTTATGGTTTAATATATTAACACTATTAAAATTTGCCTAGTGCCTGTCTGATCTGCTAAAGATACCTAATGCACTAGTTGTCCTTGTTGTCATCTCTCTGCATCTTCAATAACAGCAAGAACAATAAAAGGATTTATGAGGGTTTTCTTCAGCAGCAAAATGATCCTGCAGCAAAGAAAAGATGGGAACCTGGGATCTTGACTCTCAACAGTAAGCACTTTCTAGTTTGTACACAAAGGGCTTTTTCACAAATTATGGCTAGTTTTAAAAAACCTGAGAACATGCTGAAAACATATTTTGTCTTATCATATAGGGTTGTATAATCCCCAGAGCAGCAACACTGGCTTTGAGATCATCATAATCAGTTTCCAAAAAATGGTTAAGAAGTATAAATTCTAGGACCCCACCCTTCACCTTAAGCCTATTGAATTGACACTGGGGGAGGAGTGGCAGTCTGTGTTAGGGAGGCCTTCAAGTGGCTCTCACACATGCCAAAGTTTAAAAAATCACTGTCTTAGAACACAGAAGATAGTAATCGCTTAATTCCCTCATTTAATCCTTATAACTCCAAGAAAAGTCATAGTGCCATCACTATTATTGTTGTCATTGTTATTTTGTGCTGCTGGGGAAGGAACTCAGTGCCTCCACATTCCAGGTAAGCACTCTACCACGGAGCTATACCCCGAGCCGTGCAATTTTAGATATGAGGAGATCAAGGCTCTAAAACAAAGAGTCAACATTTCTAAGACCATATGATCAGTTGGAGAAAACAAACTCAAAATTATATCTGCCTGATTCCAGAGACCCTACTATTAAACCCACGGTCCCAGTCCTCTCAAGAAACATGAGTTTTATAAAGTGTTTCCCTCTAAAGAGTTCCCATGGGTTGGTCTACTATGTCTACTCAAATAAGGCTGTTCCTTTTCTTCAAGATGAACCTTCACATTTAAGATGATGGCTATTGTGTCCCTCCAATTACATCATTTAGTTTGGGAGAGGTGTTAAAATAACCAGTTTTTGTCCCAACAGTGGAAATCTAAAATTTTATAGAGACTTATCTTTGTAATACCCTATTTCAGTGTGATCCAGACTTTCACACTGCTCCAAATTTGGAATCAAAAATCCCTTTTGATCACTGAGCTCTTCAGATGGTTAGCAGTAATTTTCTAAATGGTCCTAGGGACATAAATATGCAGAGCTAAAAGAAACTCAAAGGTTCAAAGCGAGTTGTTGGTAGTCAGACAAAGAGTTAAAATAAGAGTGAAGGTCTAGTCAAAGACAAAATCCTCTTGGAAGATTTGACAGCTGTCCTTCAGAGTACTTTTTAAAAATAACAGCTGCTTTGTGACTTTGTCCTGGAATCTGATGGTGCTAATACCATGACAGGGCCTGTGTTTAAGTGGTTGCATATTCCACTTTAGGTAGCTTCCCTCTGCATCGGTCTTACCTTGGGATCATTAAGTTTTCAGGTTACCATGGGAACAGAGCAGACTCTAAACCTGAAGGACAGCAATTTGGTATAAGATGCTGTTAAAGGGCAAGTAGGCAGTAATTTTTCAAACTTGAATTGCGGAGTCTTTTTAGGAGTCTTTTTCCCTCAGCTTGTGCATCTGCCAGATGACCTCAATAAGACCTAATGCAGAAGGGTCAGAACACTGAATATCCTTTTCCACTACCTTGTCCTTGTTTCAGCCAACAGAAGTGATGGGAGGAAAGAAGAGATGGAAGAAAGAATCCAGATAGATATAATCTGCTGAACTACATGTTGTCCATTCCCTTTGATAGACAAGTATATATCACATTTCATCTAAATATTTTTCTGGAATAGAGATTGACTATCATATTTTTGAAACCATTTTGAAATAAAAACATATAAATGTCTTCCTTTAAAACAAATTATCCTGTGAATACCAAACAGGAGCTATCCCATGTGCTAGAAGTATTAGTTAGCACACATATTTTCATTCTATAAGTATGAATCCATGTGTATTATTAATTTACTTGTATTTCTATAAGTATTAATTTATACATGAAAATATAATTTTGTCATTGTACTTTGGTTTATAAGCAAGAGATGGGAGGGATTTCAATAAATCTAAATAAAGGTGTTGAAACAAAAAAGATAATGTGGATCTGAGAAAAACAAAAGAATTCTTGTGTTGATGTTCTTAGTTTATAGATGAGACAGGCACTTAGCTACCACATGGATTTAGATGGGATGCCTTCTTTGGACCACAGAGGCCACTGGAAACCTAGAGGACATATCTTGACCCAGGGACAGGATATACTGGTGAAGCCACAGCTCCTGAATGACTCAGGTAAGTTCCTAGATCTGTTTCCTCATCAGGAACACTGAAAAGTTAGAGTCAAGGTCCTGCTGAGGAAGAATACTAATTAGTCTTGCTTTGCTAGTCCTTAGTCATTGAGAGTCATCCAAATAACCTGACCTCATTCTTACAGGTATGAGAGGAGATGAGTTTCATAAAAGCAATCCTGACTAGTAGTCACCAAACTCTAGTTTGGTGACTACTAGTCAGGATTGACATGGTAACACTTAAACATTGTTCCATGGGGTGTGCAACACATTTCCAACTCAATATAACAGAAAGTTGATTTTGCATGTAAGTACAAAGAAATTGAACAACATTCTGTAAGAGTTTACATTTTCATTAATTAGAATGTCTCTGCAATAAGAAAGCTACTGAATAAAAACTCAGAAATTGAATCCCTTGGTTAGTTATTCCAATCATACCAGTTAACCAACCAGATTGCTAATCAACCTGCTTCTCAACTGAATTAGTTAATTTCTGGACTAAGACAATTTAATTATTTGCCTGAACAGATATACTTTTAGAATAATCAATAAAGGCCCAGAAATTCTCACTTTAAATTTCTACTACATGATTCAAAATACAGACATTTTAAAATAATTTCTCTCTCTAAAATTTCTTCCTTTCAATCTTGTGGACATAATGGCAAAAGTAAAATGCTTTCTTTTAAAAATACAGTTCTGCCACTTAGGGAGGAAAAGGATATGGGAATATCACACTTCCTCAATTAGTCTGAGAAGACAATAAAAAAATCAGCAGGTTCCAATTATTATAAAATGTCAACTATAGTTTAAATAAGCTAGATTTTGTTTCCATATTAAAGTATAAAACACAGATCAGGAAAATTATTTGTTTAACTAAAATATATAATTATATATGCACATAATTATTTATTTATATATTGCTCTAGATTTTTTAAAGGATTATTTACTTAGAAGAAAAAAAATCAGGACTTCAAAAGTTAAACAGTGAAAGCACACAGGCAGAAATCTAAATTAAAAAAAAAAAAGAAAAAAAAGAATGAGTCACCAACATTGAGAAATGGTAAATTTTGCATTTGTTCTTTGTCTAAGGGATTTAGCTTCCTTAGACAGACTGTCTTGCTGTGAAGGCATCAGATACCCTTATATAAAATCCTGGCATGAGTATCTGAAGACTATTTCAGACCACTTGATCTGTTTCAGGAGAAACTACTAACTTTGAGTTGACACTCTCAGCTTTGTTTTCCTCCTTCCATATTCTTTATTTACTTTTACTCTGAGGCTCACATTCATCCTGAGCCTGGATGCCCCATCTTAGACATACTACCTAAGCCCAACCTGGAATTTCCCCTGAAGATGTGATGCTCACATTAGGCCTCTGCCTTTTGTTCTGAAATGGTTAAGTAAGGGCCTCTTCAGCTAGTGGCTTCTTACTCTAGCCCTAGAAGAACTTGTCAAAAGTCAGAGGGACAATGTCTAAAGGAATCTAGATTCACACTTGGGGGGACAGTGTTTTACTCAGGAGTTTGCAAAAAAAAAAATTAATCATTTTTTTGGGTGGGGGGGCAAGGTTTGCAAAAAAAAATAATAATCATTTTTTTTGGGTGGGGGGGCAAGGAGACACCCAGGAATTGGTAAGTAATGATATTCGTATATTGGCATGTCCTATGCTACTGTTTTTAAAAGCAGGATGACAATATTAATCAAGTCATGATCATGTTCATAGTCTTGAAGCATATAAGTCCATTCATGGGAAATTGTCCTAAGTAATTAATTCAAAAGAAGAAACAAAAGCTCTACACAGCCATTTACACAATTATTTAAAATAGTAAGAAACATAAAAATCTTGAAGTTCAATAGTAAGGAACAATTAGACTAATTATGGTAACTCAACAAGGTGAGGTATTATCTAGGCCCCATCAAAGATATAATGATCAGTCATTGTAGCAAGAAAAATATTTATCACCAAAGTTCAGGCACCAAAACTGAATAAAAATTGTAAGTTCGAGGCAAGTCAACTATGTTTGTACATGTGTACGTATATAAAGTATATATGGTAGATAATCATTATTTATGAATTCTGTATTTGAAAGTTTGCCTTTTCCCTAAAATGTGCTTGTGACACCAAAATCAATACGCATGGTGCATTCTAAGTTATTTGCAGTCAGGCACAGGACTTGTCTGATTTGCACATTTCCAGTGAAGGCTGAACTGGTGAGACTCTGCCTTTTTGTTTCAGCTTTTATACTATAGACCAGCACTTTTTCTGAGGGCTACTTATTACCGTGCTGCTTTTGTATTTTGGGGGGCTTTTCTGTTGGTGATTTCACTGTTTAATACAGTCTCTAAAGATACTGCTGAAGTGCTACCTTATGTTTCCAAGTCTAAGAATACTGAGATGTGTCTAATGAAGAAAATATGTGCATTAAATAAACTTTGTTCAGGCATGAGTTATAAGCAGCCTTCTGGCCCGAGTTCACAGTTAATGAATCAATAGAAGATAGATGCTCTTTGACTTATAATAGGGTTAGGTCCTGGTGAAATGATCATAAGTTGAAAACATTGTAAGTCAAAGATGCATTCTATACACCTAACCTACAGAATACCCTGGTTTAGCCACACAGTGCATGGTACAGTATCAATCATTTCCCTGTGTGATTTCTGACTGACTGGGTCCTGGACTTGTTGCCAATGCCCAGTATCACACGTACTGCATGTTTCTAGCCTGGGAAAATTTCCAAATTCAAAGTTTGAAAGAAAGTGTTCTACAGAATGCATCATTGTTTTTGTACCACGGTAAACTTAAAAAACTAGGTGAAACTACCATTAAGTTGGGGATCATCTTGTGTTAAATAAGATGTCTTTGAGCAGAAACACATAAAACAGTGTTGATAAGTTGAAGAAAATATGAACAGCACGTATAGGAGCTTAACCCTGTTTCCTTTAGGAGCAGTGGTTCAATATTTGCTGAATTGGTGTTTACAGTGATGTTACAGAATACAACTATGAGAATAATAAGAAGGGACTACATATGCATATGTATCTATATCTACATATACATAAACAAAAATACTACAAGGGAATAGTTTGTACAAATGTGCAATCATGTGGTTTGGGGTATGGTTTGATTTTCTTCTTAGAATTTAAAAAAAAAGTTTTTCCAGCATGATTTCTATCTTGAAAATGTTTAAAATGGACAAAATCCAAAGAAACCCTGCTGATTGATAACAGAGTTCTTTGTTCATGTGCATAGTTCTTTTGGAATCAGTGGCCTTCATACTTATGTCAAATAAGGTTGCCAGCATGTGTCCTTTGTGGTTGTTCTCTGGACAAGTCACCTGATCTTTCAATGTTTTAGTTGGCTCTCCTAAGAAGTAAGGATAACATCAGGACTTGCACAAATGTATGAATTAAAATATTAGAGTAAGTTTCCCAGGGAGATATTCTGATTCTCTTAGGCTTCTAGCATTGTGGTGTTTCAGAGTGTTTACTCAAACCAGTTACTTGGTGCTATGCACTGAATTATGTTCAAGCCAAATTCATATGTTAAAGCCGTAACTTGCTATGTGACTGTACATTACATAGGGCTTTCAATAGGGTAACTGAGGTTAAATGGGGTCATCCTGATCCAGTGGAATTGGTGTCCTTAAAAAAGATGAGATACTTTCTTTCTCTCTGTCATATGTGGAAACAGTGAGATGAGGGGGTCACCTGCGAGCCAGAAAGAGAGCCCCCACCAGAAACTCAACCATGCTGGCACCCTGATCTTGAACGTCAGCCTCCAGAACTGTGAGAAAATAAATTTATGTTGTTTAAGCCACCCAAGTATGGTATTTTGTTACAGTATTTTTTTTTAATCAGTCTCCCCTTTTCCCCCCATCCTCAGGAAAGGATCCCATCCTTCTTCCAAAAGGCACAACTCTTTCAGGTGGAGATGTTTGGGTAGCTCCCTTCCTGGGCCCCTTGTCTCTTCCGACCAAGGCAACAAAGGGTTCTACATGATCCCTTATATTTCCCCTAAAGCCTGGCTACACTTTTGTCAATAGTCCTTTATCCAAATCTATCACACAATTCCAATATGCTGAATATTTCCTTCCAAGAACTTGACAGGACCTAATAAAACATGGGAATTGCTAAAAAGATAATTCAAAATTTTTGATGATAATTCCAAACCTTGTTGTACTGACAGAGAAACTAACACCCAAGCACTCTTAATTAACTGGTAATAATGCCACATCCTCAGGGTCATCCGTTACCATCCAAGGGACATGCATGGACAGTGGCTGCTTCATTGCCAACACAACTTGGGTTGTATGACAATGTCAATGTGTTAGTAAAAATGAAACCCCCTTTAGTCTGCCTAGAATAGGCAAGCCTATTAATATTACATTTTCCTTCCTGTACTATATGAACAACCAGACCATTCGTAATCTCTGATTCCATTTTTATTTTTGCCATGTTTTTTTTTTTTCCCCCATCTTGGTCCCATTTGCTGAAAAGTTTTCATTGTTCTAGGGGTCAGGAAAAAGGGGCAGGGGGAGTGCTTGTTTAGAAGTGATTGCCTAGCAACCCATCTTCCTTATTCCAAGGACAGAGGCTATTTGCATTTTGGGAAAGAAGACTAAGAAGAAGAAGTAAAAAAAGCTTTACTTCTCTAGAATACTGGGGTGGGAATGTCTTGCTGACACTCCTCAAAGGAACCTTCCTTCCTCTGAGAACTCCCCCTGGGTGGTCATTCTTTGCCAGTAGCCCTGCCTGTGCTCCCTGGGGGGAGGTGTACCCTTCCAAGGTGCTCCCAGAAATGCCTGGGGCAATGACTGCCTCCTGGCGCTGCCAAGCTGCAGCCCCAGGAGGCAACAGGACAGAGCTCAGAACATCCTGATCTCATTCAAGTGGGCATTTCTTTCCCACACTGTTCTTTCCTTTTGCAGCTTTCTTTTCTGGACATGTGCCACACCCAAGGGATGTCCAGGCCTGCTGCCCTTAACCCCCGAACTGCCAGTGAGTTCTTGGAGCCTGCTTAGGGGAAGCTGAAGCCAGCAGGGATATGGGAAGAGCAGGAGACATAAACCTCCCCTTGGACATTCTTAGCTGACCCACAGGAGGCGGGAGTCAAGGGAAGAGAGACTACTCCATGCATCACTTGGGAAACTGAACTGGTATACAACAAAGAAATCTTCCCACAAACATCTCATCTTTCCCTCTTCAGTATCCACATTGGAATAATAAGAGATAAGTGAGATGAGGCAAGTGATAAAGATGGGAGTCCTTCTTCCTTAATGCCCCAAACGGTAAAGAAAACTCTCAGACTATGTTGCTCCAAGTTAGGTGAGACTTCCAATCTTCTGCAGCTCTAAATTATCATCTATAAAACTGAGATCTTTTGACAACTTGAATAATGTCAGTAATACAAGACGCATAACCTAGGGAGTACTATTTAATGAAGACTGTTTCGTGGTGTGTTTGCATTGGCTCATCCATCACCTTTTCTTGCAGGATATTTGCCATAAGGAGAGGCCTTGGCTATTCACAGGTACACTTATCTGTAACTTGACAGCAGATAAGTCTGGCACTAAGGGGATATAATCATGTTTTAGATACCTCTTCATTCCTTCGTCATGTGAGTACTTCCATGTACACAAACACCCAGAATAACAATAACAACAGAAATCCATGGAAGTCTGGCTACTAAATAAGCTTATCTAACTAATATAGGGATGTTGCTCTGAGATGGAAAAGATGGAAGAAGATGACAGCATTGAATCCTTTTACCTGAAAGATAAGATAAAATTCATCCAGAAGAAAATTTGGAATGACTTATGGGGATTGGCCATGAACAGAAGACAATGAAACAAATTTTAAAAATGCCACCAAACAAAATTTTACCTTCTGCAAAAGAGGAATTGTAGCTTTGTTTTCTTTTCTGTCTTTTTGTTTGTTTGTTTGTTTGCTATCTTTGAAAATTCTCTAGCAATTGAGCTTAAGCCTACTCTGGATTTTTATTTAATCCGCTGGAACTGAGAATAGAGATTAGAATTTGAGAGTTGAAAAAAATTTAGAAGTCATCTTACCCCCAAAACACTGTTCTCATTTTACCATTAGGCCCATACACCCAGGTCCAAGGAGGTCCACGTTTGCTCAGGCCACATGCAGGTCGCATGGTCGCACTTAATGCACAGAAGTCACTATTTAACACATTTTGGGTTTGTGTAACCAGATAGTGGACTTTATTAATAGTGGGAACTTTTGATTGTTAGCAGGTCAACTTCATTTTTCATGTGGGAGGATTGTGAGGTATATGCCTTTGGGAATGAAGAATGTAGAATATAAAGCAAGGGGCTGAAATAGATCGCCATATCTCTGTTCATTTTTCATACATTTCAGCAGGAGTTATTTGAGAACACAAGGGTGTTCCAGCGCTGAATGAGCAACTAGAAAAGACTGTCATGGCCAAATGTGTCTTTGGGCAAATGTTCCTTCTGTGGCTAAGTTGGTGAGTTTTTCTGAGACCTTGAAGAATAGTGAAGCAGTCATCTGGTAAAAGATTGAATCAAAGTTCTCTGGGCTTCCCTGTTCTGCCTACCATATCCCCCTTTTCCTCTTAACTACTGCCATTTAATTACTCACAGTCAGTTGTGTTTCAAAGCCATGAATATTTGGGCATTCTCTTCTCTGGGATGTGGAGAAACTGTTGGGCATGGTTCTTGAGCTACTTAATACTTATGTCATAAATATAATGAGATACTAAGCCCCACACTGTTTCACTGTTTAGAGCAGTCTATGCACATATAATCAATGCCTCTAAAAGCTCTGATGAAGTTTGGCACGTTTTAAAGAACCAAGGAGAGCATGGAAATAGGGCTTTTGGAGAGAAGAGTTGGAACCATAGTTGATTCTGGAAGCAGAATATTTCATGCTTCCCTGGACACAGAGGACTGAGATCTGATCTTTCTGTTGGAACTGAAAAAAAAATCTAGAAATGAGAATGTGATATCTTATTTGTCAGACTAAAATTCATGGAAACTTTGAGTTATGAAGTTCTTTAGAAGTTACATAAATCCTATAAATTTTAATATGGAATCTCTGAAACTAAAGTAAAAATAGATGCATTGTATTAAGATGACTTTATTTATAAAACTTTAAATTGGTAGCATTTATGCATGCTAAAGCTAAACCACAAAAACATATTTAAGTTTTGCTGTTTCCCATTGTGTTTAAATTGTATATCCAGAACATTTGAGCATATTGGTTTTCATTAGATTTTATTGCTTATAATGCACTAATGTTAGTAGTTGCATTATGATTATAATATACATAAGCAGATAAAATTGAAATCAACTGTTGTAGAACCAATCACTGAAGTTCCTTCACAAGATCACTAGGTTCCATAGAAAACAATTTTGTAAAACATTAATCCATTTCTTTAGCATTGTAGAAAGTCCACGCATGGATACTTCTTTCTAGTGACAAGGAATGCATATCTTAGCAAAGCAACCCACATCTTATTCTTGGGCAATTACTCTTTACATTCTACCAAATCTGTTCATGAAACATCTATGCAATGGTCCCAGTTCTGGCCTTTGGAACCACGGTCCTCATCTGTGTACCAGAAGACAGTTACTGTGCCACATCAAGCTTGTCCTTTCTTTTGGCTTCATTGTCCCAGGTTACCTCAATTCTCCTGTCTACAGCATGGTTCCAGAACCACATGGATACCTTCCTGAATGTTCTCGTGCTTATAAAGACACTTTTGAAATGCAGATGTCTTAAATTTTCTGAAATTAAACATGTATCCAACTGAATTCCTGGTCTCTTCCCATTATGCCAGCTGCTGAGGTTATATGGATCAGAAAAAAATCTATTTCACATCCTTGACATCTTTCTCTGTTTTGCCCTTTCTATACCTAATCCATATCTGGGGTCTAAACCACTCCTCCTAAATCACTAAAATATCCCTTCTTTGCTCTGTCTCCTCTGTTATCATCTTGGCCCACCTTATCAGTATCTGCTTCCGGAGTCTACTCCCAAAGCATGTCTGTTTATAGACACCAATGCTCCTCAGAGTTGCAAAACCTACATCTTTCTTCATGCTCCCAGAGGTATCCCATTGCCTTTATGGAAATGGGAAATCTTTAATATGACTGACAAGTTGCTGTTGCACTTTTTCCTTCTCCAGCTGGATTGTACACCCCATGCTCTGTCCTGGCATGTTCCTCATTTTTCACTTCCTTCACCATGCTCAGCTTATCCTGCCACAGGGCCTTCCTATCCATTGTTTCTTCTGCCTAGAGGCAACTTTCCTTACCTGGTTGGTCCAACCTGCAAGATTCAGTTCCAAGATGCTTTCCCCAGTCTTCTGAGTTCTCTCCTAGGCCAGATTCTCACATTACAGGTTCTCTGAGTCCCAGGGATGCTTGCTCCAAGAATAATCAACTAATCCCACAAATATTTGTCAAGTAAGAATGATTATTTGATTATTCTTGATCATTAGCTCCAGGAGGCTAAGATGTGTCTATTTTTGCTTACTTTCCCCATCCCTATCCCTTCCCAACATGTAATGTACTTGTATTCAACAACATTTCTTAATTAGTTACATAATTCCTATTTTGAGTCTCTGTTTCATCAAGAAGAATGATCTGAAATCAAGAAAAGATGAAACAAATATGGTAAAAATTCCTCTTCATATGGAAATCCCAACCTTATTTTAAAACAATGTATGTCTCCAGCCATTGTTGAATAATGTCCAAGTTTATTTCCCTTGATTATGTAAGCTCAGTATTCATACAGCAGGAATAAATGAAAAGGGTGAGGCAAAGGTGATGAAGCAGTTGGACAAAGTTTGACATAATTTTCAGAGGAGAGTAAAGGAATGGAATTTTACAAAGGACTGATAATTAAACTTGAGCTTTGTTCCAGAATAAATTAACAAAAATGGCAAAGATGTGTTGCAAGCACTTAAGAAAAGAAGCAACGATGACCAAGAGCAATCATGGGCTCATCCAGATGAAGTGTAGCAAATGATCATCCAGGTGAACTTGCTGGACAGAATAATGGACAGCCTTGACAAGAAGCATATTGATTTCAGTAAGGATCTTGGCAAAGGATTCCTTGCAATATCTGTGAGAGGTGGAGAAATGTGGGCTGAACTCACAGCTATTCAAATACCAGGGTATGTGTGCCTGGCTGGTGCCTGCCCAGGATTGATTCACTCTAATGCTACTGATTTCTGAGATAGCCTCCTTCCATGTTCATATGTAATTATAATAACAACAGCTGGCACATGAAATGTCCACTGTGACACATAAAGTGCCCACTGCTTAAGGTGTACTTAATTCTTAAATTTTCTTTCTCTTTGAGAAAGTATTACTGTTGTTGCTCTTTAAAAGTTGGAGGAATTGGTTCTTGAAAAGTTAATTATACTATGTTCAAGGTCACATAGTAAGAGGTAGAGCTGGAATTTGAATGAAGGAAGTGTGGCTTCAGGGTCTATGGTCTTTATAATACTATGCTACCACTACCTCCATGCTTTGGATTCTCTGGAATGCTCTTAGCCACTAGAGCTTTATCATACTTGTCTAATGTGCATTTATGCATCACTCTGCAATGCTCTGAAGTAGGGATCTTTTACCTATAATACACAGACCCTACAGGGTTTCAAATATTTAACTCACAGGGATCCTTTAAACTTGGATCACATCTAGCTTTCACTAACTTCTAACAAAAATACAGTATTTCTTTCAATATTAAAGTAGGCAACTGTTATGGTTTGGATATGAGGTATCCCCCAAAAGTTCCTATGTTAATGCAAGAATATTCAGAGGTGAAATGATTAGATTATGAGAGCTGTAACCTAATCAGACCATCCTAGTTTGAATGGACTGAATGGGTGGTAACTGTATGCAGGTAGATATGGCTTGAGAAGGTGGGTCCCTGGGGGCTTGCCCTGCAAGTGTCCAGCTTCCCTGAAATCTTTTCCCCTTTCTTTTCTCTGTGTTCTTGTGGTCATGAACAGAGCACCTCTCCTCACTCATACCCTCCACCTACTGCTTCACCTAGGGGCCAGAGCAGTGGAGTCAACCCACTGTGGACTGCACCGCTGAGACTATGAGCCAAAATAAACTTTTCCTCCTCTAAGTTGTTCTTATCAGGTGTTTTGGTCACAGAGACCAAAAAACTGACTAATGGCAATAAACCCCAATGGTATCAACAGAATGTGTGAAATCATATCCATGGAAATCAGGTATTTTCATGTCACATTATTGTTATAGTAGATACCTCAAAACATCTTTTATGTTTATCACTTTGAATTTACAGTAGTTATTAGACCTGCCACTAGATCTCATTATTCAATATTTTCACAAACACACGCTATTATATCACACTTTAAATATTTTATAATTTTGCTACAACATAACCATATCCTTTTGTAACCATGTAAATTTTATTTTGTGTATTTAAAATGTTCCTTTGTGTATTAAAAAAGGAGTCCCCAGTCTTACTCAGTGCTAAAGGGAAGAACCCTGAGTGATATTATCCAAGTCCAGTTTGTTCTGCAATATGTGTGGTTTACAGCATGATGGCTTCCCTCTGTGATATGTGTGTCATGCTCAGGGAAATAGTTATGACTCAGGGTGTCAAAAGGTAAGGAAGTGTTGAAATTTTTTAACTAACTACGAAGAAATGGAGAAAGCACATCACGAAGAGAGTTAAAATGTGCTTTTAGTAGTGGTAGCTAAAGTTACCTTGAAGGACACAGTGGAAGAGAAACAGAATACAGATCAGCAGGCAGCTAAAGATCTGGACAAGTCCTTTGACATTCCTGAAGACCTCATAAACCTCCAGCTGGGGAGGGCTGGGCAACAATTTATTAAGACTGCCTACAAAACACTGTTGGGATAAATTCAGGAGAAGTGAAGAGAAGGTAAGCGTGATGGGCAATGTGCATGCTCAACTGCAACTACAAAGGGCTGAGAGTGCACACATTCCTGAGAACCTATGCTGGATTCATGGGTACTCACTTGAGAGAGCATCCCTTCACACGTGGAAGGTGGGGCCCAGTGCATGTGTCAGATTCTGCTTCATCCTTATTCACCAATAGCAACACTGGTATTAATAAAAACTTACACATATACACTTTCCATGGTGGCTTCATGACAGGACCAAGTAGCAGGCAGAGTCGCCTTCTTCACCCATTTTAGTAAGATGAAAAGTACGTCCAGAGAAATTTATCAAATTAATTGATCAAACTCACACACTGTACACACTAAATTGTGAGAATTGATCTAGGACTGTTGTCTTGGTCTATGTTCCTTGATATATTCATCAGATTTGGCTGGAGAAGTACTAGGTTGGATGAAAGGTACAGATTCTCTCCTTCAAGCAAAGGGACAGACTATTTCTGAAGCCCCTTCCCAACCTAAAAGGCAGTGGTTCTGAAATTTAAAGCATCTCATATCTTTCCCCAATGCACAGAAATTTATGGCCTTGTTCTGAACGCTCAGCCTTCAGCCACGGTCCCAGATAGATCTGTTATGGTCACGAAGGGTAGAGCTCTGAGAATATACAAGGCAACCTTTTCCCACCTCCCAAAGAGAAGATAAAAGGAGTTAGGTCCATGCTGAAAGCATCAGAAAGGTTTTGGAAGGGGAGGAGCCTGGACTGACTATCTATCTATCTATCTATCTATCTATCTATCTATCTATCTATCTATTTTGGAGAAGAGCTGATTACTTGCTAGCTGTGCCTCAGGAATAAGCCACAGCACCTCAGGAATGTGACATCATCTCTCTGAATATTATTTTCTCTATCTTTACTCTTAAAAGCTAGTTGAGATGGTTATAAGTCCAAATGAAATAGAAAAGGAGGTCTGACATGTTAGCTTTCCTTACCAGACCCAACATTAACTCTGAAAAGAATTATCAGGAGTCTTCTCAGGTCACAACTGTTTCCTACAATAAAGTGTAATGAGTTTTCCAGAAATTCACCACTTGCCCAAAGAGAGCTGAGAAGAATTTAAGCACTTGCTAGATTTAAGCTACAAGAATCAATACTGATATAGACTTCACTCATCCTATAATTCTACCTTTAAGGAAAAGCTCCCTCTATCTCTTTAACATGGGCATCAGCCCTTCCACATCCTTTGAAAAACCCAGAAGTTTCCTGTGTGCAAAGGCGAGGCAGAATTCTCCAGTTCTCCTCAGCCTCCGCTGCCGTATCCCTGTCATCAGCAACATGTGAATGAACAGAATTATCTCCAGGGCTGAGGGCGTGGGCCACATAACTGGGCTCCACCGTCAGAGGATCCCAGCGTCATGTTCTCCACCCCCTTATGAGAAGGCTGATGCTGTCGTAGAGCTGTGAGGGAGGAAGCCCGCCTGGAAATGCCATGTAAGGGAAGAAACTGTCCCACTTCAATGCTAGGATTCTAAAATAGCTGCTAATAAAAAGCCTTCATACTGTGACACTTCAATACAGACACCCACAAGCATACCTTGACAAGCTGTTTCACTCTTCACAAGCCTTTTCTTGCTTTTCCTGTGCAAGGCCCCCACCAGTCACCCACTCAAATGTACAACCCTGTAGTGACAGAGAAGGCCAGCAGGGGTCTGCCTAGACCGTGCGGCAGGGAGCTCTGGCTCCTGGCAGGAGGGGCTGCTGCTCTGATGTTGGCTCCTTCAGAGATAAGTTGCATCACTTTCAACCTGCTGTTTATTCTGTGTCTTTCTCTCCTCATGATGTCTTAGACAATACTCACCTGGAGCATGAGCCAACGTCACCTCTCAGGATGAAGAGAAGCCCCTCAAATAACATCATATTTACCAGCTGATCATGAGAAATAGATCTTGGCTCATTTGGAAAAAGCACAGGTCAATGAATCTGGTCTCTGATGGTAAAGAGCACAGGATACAAGTGAATGAATGCAAGTGATTATAATTTGAAAGTCCTTTCCCTTTGGAAGTCCTAAAAAATCCATTAATTATGATAATGCCATTTCCATCAGAAAAATGAAAGATCATGTTTGAGAGAATTTTTAACAACAGCACCTATCCTATTTTTAAGCTTGATAATTATAACTGGTTGTAAATTTACCATTTAAATCTTAGCAGTGATAAGACCACATAATGTCCTTAGTTATTTTCTGTAAAATGTTCCTGAACAGGACTAATATAATGGTTCTTTCATTTGACTACACATCAGCATTGCCTAAGAAGCTTCTTCAAAATATAAATTCCCAATTCTCATCCCCTCACAACTTCCCTGAGATGCTAAGTCAGTATATCCAAGGAAAGTTCCAGGAATCAAGATTTTTCAACAAAAGAAAAAGCACCCCAAGGTACAAGGTATTCAGATGTATGGTAAAGCTTGGGAGCCTGTGTAGTGCAGAAGTCCACAGACCAGCTAAGGTAATATTGCTGTGCCTCCATTAGCATAGGAAGCATTTGAGAAGTTTTCTCATGGTCTGATCTCATAAACAACTTTATTTCACAATTCTCTTAATAGAGCTCAACTTAGAATTTGTTTTACTAGGAAAATAGAACTCCACAGGCTATATAGATGCCTATACTAAGTTCTCATGATCACCAATAGGAAGTTCAACAAGGGGATCTGTGGCAGTTCTGCAGAAGGCTAAATTTGAGTGTTTATGATGTCACCATGAGTATCTAATATTAGGCTAGGTTGTTGTAATAATCTCTTAGGAATATGATTCTCATGGGTATATGAATGCACCTTAATACTCAAGGGGCACTCTCTGCAGATCTTCAGAAGTTTCTTTGTGTGCAGCTCTCTCTTCTGTAGTATTTTGTCCTTTTACCTCTAGCCACCTTGATCTTCCTAGTCTCTCAGCTCTATCTCCTCAACTTGGGAAGCTTCTTGGGATACTCCTGGGTCCCTTCTCTGCCTCTCTCAATGACATAAGCTTGGGCAATCACATGACTTACATGAGGAATGATTTCAATCCTGAAAATCCAGGACATTGGACCAGTCACATTTTTCCTTGAAAGACTTCCAACAAGAATATGATATAACCTTTTTTGGAAGCTCCTTTTAGGAAATCACCATGATCAGTAAAAATATAGGAAGCACTATGTGAGGCATTTGGAGTTTAAAATGAGAACATATGCAGTCTGCCAAAGAAACATGATGATCAAGTCATGTTGTCCTGACTATAACTTCAGTCATATGCAGTCTTTAAGATTAACAATACCCCTACCTGCTACTGACCCAGGCCAAATCCATTTTTTTCCATTCACTTTCCAGATTTCATCTCATTTTTCCACCAAATCAATTTATCTCTACTCTTCACAAGTATTACGCTGCCTAGTGTCAGAATGTTTCATTTATGAGATATCTTCTCTCTGGGAGATGTGTGATTTTTTTTTTT